AAAACTAGCATTCCCATCCTGTAATTTAGATTTTGTGTGTGTATCCCTACAGTACCCCACTACTCCACCATATACCATTCAGAGACATACTGTAACAGGTTTTACTGTTTACAGTATTTTGTGTTTACATCCGACCATTAGAATGCCTTGTTTTGTGTGTATTTTACTAACAAATATATGATAGGCCTGGGAGAAATAATACAATCTCTCATCAGAAGTAAATATTTAATTTTCAAAGACAAATAATTCATTAAACTGCCAAACAGGTTATGGTTTCAGAGTTACAACAGTGATTATCTAATATAAATTTTCTTCGATGGCTTCAAGTTCAAGTAGATTCACCAGCATGTTTGCTTTTCTTCAGGGGTTGCCTGAGAGGCGTTCAAGAAGAAGGGATTCAAATAAACATATTAATAACGTTAATATAAGGTAAATATTTAAGCCTGTGTGACCTTTTCCTAATGTAGCCATAGGAACGAACACCACGCAATGAGCTCTGACCACAGGGGCTCGGCCGAAGCAGAATGACACATCTCTATAACAAGTTATTGGTGAATGCCACGACGTTCACCTGACGCAAAACGACACATTATTATTTAAACTAGGCACCGAGCCTCAGTGGCTCAGACAACCTTCGTCAATATTTAGCAAGTATTTTCTTCAAATTATTTTGAAATCTGGTCTCAGTTTGCCAAACTGTTTGTTGTTGTTGGTGTTTGTTACAACTCCTGTCATGACAAAATGACATAACGCTAAATGTTGTACGCTAATTTACACCGAAAAAATATGGTTTTCAACAAGAAACTTGCTTATAATTTATTTAAGAGAACAAGTAAAAAACTCACCTTTGAACATACAAATTTATGTCTGTCAATATTGTTCACATTAAGCTTGCATGTGGTCGTCCGCACGATTTGATCCATTTAAAAGCATTTTTCGTATTGGGTTTTAGCTTAGGAAATGGTACGAAAACAATGCCTGAATCCTTTACAATGTACCTGTCGTTAGATTTACATTTTCCCCAATAACACCTCTTGATCATTCTGAATATTCAGGCAAAAACTGCACGTTCGTAGAAGTACACATTTCCGGGGTACTGGAAAGTTGAACAGGCAAACTAATCATCGAGAGTAATCTCTCTGGACCATCGAAATCATGTTTCAAACACTTCCTAAGCAATTTTAAAAATCTATAAAATAGTGTAGGAAATGCTGCCAATGGGCCAGTAAGGAGTTAAATAATCATTTGTTGCGCGATATTGAGATTGAGTGGATGTTTTTTACTGATCAACATCGAGAGGGCGCTCGTTTATTTCTTTTGTTGAACTGTTGAACAAATCGAACTGTAAGGGCGCTGTTTCAAGACATTTTTGAGATTTCGTTTCAGTCATATGGAAGACAGCGGATTTTCGATGACGGGTAACTAAATAATTAATTATAGTTTATTTGTAAAAACTTTTTTTAACTTTTAGCTACAGAACCAGCAATACACAGCATGAACATTTGTCTAGCCTGAAGCATAAATTTGGTTTTATAACCAGGCGCTTACTAGCAACTATACAACTACTTTGCTCAATATGTGAGAGATGATTATAGAACGATATTAATAATACGAATAATATCTTGCTCGTTTGCACTCATCTTCCCATCTACTGGTGACAGTGCTAGCTAACTGTACATATCTGTTAGCGCATTGACATGAGCTCCTCAAAGAACACGTTTTTTGCTTCAAATAGTAAATGAATGCTACTTTTCTACTACCTTTTTTGTGAATACTTGCAACCACAGGAATCGACTCGTAACACTTAATGAAACGATAGAAAATGCAGATTATATTTTGGTATTTATAAAACACGAAGTAATACTTGGTTATCGTCACATGTGGTGTCAGCACAATTAGTTTTTTTTCATCCAATGAAATAAAGAAATACACACTCGTCATGCAAGTCATTATGAATAATTATTTAATCATTATACACGTTTTCTGTAAGCACACTGTCTTTGCTAATGACGTGGAATGTTGTGACAAAATTGTCACTCTTTTGGTGTTATATTGAATAATAAAGTGTGTACGTAGTTTATAGTACTGTAAAAGCAATATGAAGTGGGCAATTGTCAGTGGGAAGATGGGAAAGGTGCAAGGACATATAAACTGTGGCCTGTGAGTGGTGAACCGACGTAACGCATGGTGCATTGAGATCAGTTTGAGTGAAAGACTGTCAAGTTCGATATTGGAAAATTGGTAGTGAAGCCGAAGTGTCGTACTGTGCAAGTGAACAATTGAACTTATTGAATATTATAATAGTCTGAACTTGTTATTGTATGACGTGTTCATGAGGTCTATCTGGATGTAATACAAACTTAATTGTATGCCTTTTCATCAAATTGTGACAAGTATTGAAAGCTTGTAGTTAATAGTAGCTTGCCCTCTTGCAGGACAGGATATGTGATTCCCAGCACTGGAGCATATATAACGTTAGATTTATTCAACACAAACAAATGCGGACACAAGTTGAGAGGAGCACAAATGAATTCAAAATGTTGCATTGACGAGAGCAATGAAAGGGATTACTTCCCAATAATAGGGAAATTAATGTGACATTTATTCTGCTTTCTAGAGAAATAACAGACTGGATGATCAACACCATTTTGGTCTTGCATAAATATATCACCTGCGTCGATCACCAACTCAAAAAGTGTTATGAAAGTCTGGTAGCCGAGAGTTGGTCATACCAAATGGGCTAATACAAATCATCAGGTGTAACAAATGCAAACATTTTCTTATCTCTATCAGTTAACGGAACCTGCAACAAGTCAATTTTGGTAAGAAACTTACTATGACGTCTTCTATAAATGGGGTAGTTTAGACGTGGGATAGAAAAACATTCTTTTTTGTGACGTCACTGTCCCTCTTAAAATCTGTACATAATCTAACAGAGCCAACAAGCGTTTCTACAAGTAAACCAACTTCATTATTTCATTTCAAGCATATAATCAACCTCTTGTCTTATTCTGTTAGACAAACTCTATGGGTGGCTTGTTTAATAGATCATGTTCTCTTGACTACTATAACATCATATTTAAGCAATGATGATAAATAAATCTCTTCAATCTGTTGTTTTACATTCTTATTGCAAATGTTTAGTATCTAAGTCAGCAACTATATAAGAAATATTAAACTTGACAAGATACTCTTGCTTGTGCAAGGCGGCCGTGAACAGTAGTCACCCAACTTCAGGCCCGTGACATGCATTGTAACTTAGTTTAGTATAAAAGAGTTATCGACTTCTAATGGGTTTCCCAGACCACCCTGACCAGCATAACATTCTGTTTCTTAGTTATTACAGCATATTAATTGACACAGTCGCTCCGACTTTCTTCGATTTTGGGTGCTAATTAATTTTGCTGAGAAGCCGATATGGGCCAAGAAACTTGGCATCTAGAGCAGAACACACGACTGGCAATAAATCCAACATCTTTTCTCCAACATTGAATAAACGTTTAGTAGTTTTCTTATCGTTATGTAGTTTTGTTGTGATATTCTATTTTTTCTGTGATAGTAATGTGTTGTGATAGTGCCAAGTTAGCTAACGAGGCTTGCCTAGCTATGGAATCAGTATAAACAGCCTTTATTGTCATTGCTAATCAATATTCCTTTGCGGCCATGAACACCAGTTAGTCAGTTGACACCATGCTTCAGACATGTGCCGTGCTAGCGTCAGCTCTAGTGCAGTACACATGTCGACGTGGCAGTTCTCACATGTTTCAAGATGATACATGTTCAATACATCACGTAGGACTGATAGAAACAAGACAGTCTGCAGTGATTCTACGCCGTAAATTCAGCATTATTTGGAGACCGTTTTTCACAAGAAAGTGTATTTTTCTGATCTACACATATTTTGTAGCGTTGCATTATGGTAAATTTCTTGTATTCCTTGGGACTTCGTCGTTTGAAGCTATCGAACTGTTTCGTTGTCAAATAAAATCTCATTGGTATTTTGGATCTAGGTAGGGTAGGAAATTTCGAGCTGGGCTATTATTATCATTGTAATGTATCTTGCAGACCGATGTGTAATTTGTAATACCCCTATTAAATTTGTATTATATATTTAACATATTCTTGTTGTGTGCCTATGTTTCACCTTCAGTGTTACGTTCCTGAGTGCGGGATATTGGCGACCAGGATTGCGTGTTCCCTTACGCTCATCAATGTAAGTGTTTAACTCTAAGCTAATCATATTTACCAACAATTTTTATAGAAAAAGGCCAACAATCAAACAGTTCATTCTCACGTGCATACTCAACTTATGTTGAAGCTACAAAACGTCAAACAATAAGCTTCTTTCACCACCTCATAAGCTTTCAACACCTTTTTACATATTCATAATCATAACTAGTGTTAGTGTAGCTATTATTTTTGGGACTCTACCGAAAATGCTCCATGGAGCAATGTTGTCCAAAATTGGGGTGGTCATTTCAAATTTCTGAATATTTTTTGTTGTTGAAAATATATAGCAACCGCCTTCTCTTGGAAGGAGCTCGAGGGGAGGCAGAAAAAATAATTCTGCCAAGACCATAAGTATTTCAATTTTGGTCAACATTTACTCTTGGGATACAATTTTGGGCAACTCCCCAGTCAGAACGTCATCATCCATCAAGGTTTTGAAAAATTTCACACTCGGGCATCTGTCTTGTCCCACACCAAAATCGTTCATTCTGCTGCAAATTCACAGCAATATTTTCCTTCTCCTACGTATGCTGTATACATTTTCCAGCTTATTCGCTGGGACTTGCAGTGTATGCCGATTTTGTGAGCAATATTGTCTTCGTTCATCAAAGCTATGAATCAAGGTTGTCAAGAAACAAGTAGATTTAACATTCGCAAAGTCACTTTGCCAGATAAAAAAACATTTTAATATAACCCACAATGATAAATGAACGAAACGTGTTGAACTCGTTTGCTGCTTTACGGAGAAATAATATTGAATGATCAGTGGATTTTTGTGATATGATTATATTTACTTTTTATTGAACTAATCTCGTTAAGCAATAGATAAAATAAAACATATCTACTAATTTCCCCCCAAAACACCATCATAAAATGCTAACGAATATGGATCTCTAAAACTAACAAGGCTGTTACGACGCCCGTCTTTTCGTCAGTTGTTGGCTTCCTTAGTCTCATCTATAACACGAACAAATACATTGAATTAGCTTTATACATTTGAGAATACTGAGACAAGAATTACCATTGTAACATCTCATAGTATTTGGGTCTAAGCTCGAAGACAAAGATTTCGTAATCAATAAGATGGCGTAGTAGCCATTATGGTGTTTTATAGGATCAACTGATCTCGCCGTATGATTTTGGTGGGGAGGGGTATAAATGCATCTCCAAATTTCAGACTAATCGGACCAATAGAATAACATGTAAAATATCAAAATGATTAGTTAAAGCTCTGATGGGAAACAAATGCAGAAATTGTCGACATTTTCCCAAAGACTTCTAATATATATATATTATATTATATATTTTTTATAATTTTATAATTGTATTGTTATTGTTATTGTTGTTGGCAATTGAATCGATCAATTAAAGCAATCATGAGAACCATATATCCTAAAATAATGTCACTTTTGTCAGAAATCATTTTATGTATTTTGTTTCTACATGCGCAATATGGAGTTGATTGTTTATGGGGAAGGGAATAGTTATTTTTCTGTTCTGAGATTTAACCTTTTCACTACCAGACTTTCTCATCCAAATGTGTTCTTCTATTCTTCAATATTTTATTTTAGAGCCAACAGACACAATTTGAGTCAATTTTCGGTTTATTTTTGTTCCAATCTTCTGAAGGAAATTGCCAACTATAAACAAGACAAACTTGTTAATTTGTGACGAAAACAGGGATCTGGTGGTAAAAAGGTTAAGTTGAAAAATGAAACATACTATATGACAAATGTGGTTTTGGTTTGAAATAATTTCCTGAGATGCTAAAATCTCAAATACAGATCAATATGCGCATTGTCTCTGAAGCAAATAGACTTTAAAGCGGTGATTGCTGGTTCACGGGAAAGAACCATAACACCAAAAATGGTTGTAATTTATGTCCAAAAAATTCGCTCGTCTACACCTTAAAAAATATATCCAGAAAATGAGAACAATACACGTTTTAAAATAATATCTTCCGATTGCTATTTTAAAGTAGGCATTTTCACAAAATAGTTAACGAAACAATTACAAAAAAGTATGCAATAATAAGAGAGGCCTAGTCGTTTGTTATAAGACATTTTACTGATGTACAGGAAAATACAACTTACTTTTTGTAAGTTACTTTCCAGCTTTCACCAAATTCAATAGCGTTTTTGGTAATACTGCCATCAGGTTTCTGAAAGTCATTGCGGGGATCATCATCTGCATTACCCATCAGACCGCATAGCTTTCCGCTGTAAAAAGTGCCAGAGTAGGATACATCTAATGCGTGCTTTCTCAGAGTCCATCTAAGAAAGAATGTCGTGTCCTTTGAAGTGAACTGCAGTTTAATATCCTCCTCTTCTTCCTGGACTGTTATAACTTTTGCGTCAGTCACCTGTCCATCTGTACGTCCCTGTTGAATGAATAATTGTTTATCATCTTGTTATGATCACTGAATTAAAATACAATTCTGATTGCATTATTACAATACTACACACTGACAACTTACTGTAGTAACATCACGTCCATCAATAATTGCGTATTGATTTCCAACAGTTACGTTGACTGCAATAGTTCGCGTCTTGATATTGTCTGGTGTACTATCTTCTCTTGGTTCAAATTTGGTTGTGATTTCAAAACGAGGGTTGTCGTTGCAGTCCTTGAAAAGATAGTACCAGCCTATTCCTTGGAAATTATAAGTACGTTCATCGAATGTCCTCATATGAGGCTCACCAACGGGTCCATGCTCTAATAAAAACATTGATGCACGTTTTATGAACATATGACAATTGAAAATGAGAAATAAGATGTTATTTTCAGTCAAATGATCAACCATATAGAGATAATGTTTTATTTGGCATGGGTTACGACCAACACACTCGAGTGTAGAGCAATATTATGTGGAGATTGATTTATAAACCATACTCACGCTCGCAAATTGCATGGGCTCGTACCAAGGTGCAATTAACGTCATTCCAATTGCCCGCTAATTTCCTGTCAAATATTAGATCATTATATATTATATAAAGAAATATATTTTTCAGCCTTCTTCATATAACGACTGCTCGTGTTTTACTACCTTTACTTACCAGACCTCAACACAGTTTTCCTCTCCGTATTCATTATTTGGCTCGTTTGTATCCCAGTTGTTGTAGGTAATTGGGTGGTCATCTGAGCAGTAAGTGAAATCCCCTTCATGGTTCTCATCGCTTACACCAATCCAATAAAAACCTAATAAAATAAAAATAAAATAAGACAAGGTAAAACAATTACTATTATACAAATACATATTTACAAAGTTGTAATTACTTTCCATTGATTCATATAAAAACGTTAGTATAGGGCTTCCAAAAATTACGATAGATCTAAGTCTGCGAATATACCTGCCACATATAATTTCATTATCTCGTCCATTTGGAACTGAGTTCTGGGTTGTGCGAGTTGCCATCCGTTTGCTTCACATGCAGCTTTTGCCTCGTACCAGTCCATTGGTCCCTCTATAACGTGGTACTGTTCGATAACTAGTGATACACAATGTGAATATTTTGATAGTATTCATATTTATTTTAGTAATACAACTGTCTTTATACAAATTAGCAAAGTAAAATTGATTATATCATTATTCATTTGAAATCTTCATTGTAGTATATATACAGACAACAATATAATTCAGAGTGATAGATATTGTGTTATACCTACAGATATATAATCTCACGCGAATATATTCCAAATTTTCTCTAAAACCGATAAGGTAGTAATTTTCAAATGTTCAAATTGAAGCGACTGAAATGGGTGTCATTTTTTAAAGACCAAAACACAACAGCTTAAACAGAACAATTGAAATCTTTGTATTCTCCAACACCGTGAACACATTTGCATTTGTATAACTTGATGGAATAGATTGTCGAATACGTTTATAATAATAGATATACATACTAGGGCTGCGCTTCTCGACCAATTTCTGGAAAAGAAAAAAGAAGTATTTTCATCGCCTGTCAACCATCTCGGTGAATACAAAGGCCGATAACTTTCAAAAAATGTACTTTAGAACAGTTGTTGAGATTCTACAACATATATACGTTTGATTGCTCAGGACTACTTCAAAGTCGCGCAGAGCCAATAGAAATACACGCTAGAGTGGTGCGCGTCTTAGCAACGTAGATTGTTCTGTGACGTAGCTCCGCCTCTAGGGATTGGGACGATAGCTGGTAATCTAAAACAGACGAGCCTCGGTTTGCAAAGGACCATTTTAACACTGTATTGTTTTGAATTGTCCTCGTTATTCAATCTGCTTTTTCCTTTTGAAGATGCAAAGACTTGGTTAACGTCCATCAAACAGAACTTTCAGTCACTTTTGGAAACATATTTACCTGAACTTCAGATAGGAAATTGTTAAAACGTGTGTTTGATATGAGCAATAGTGTGATGTAACTCAACGAGAACATTGTAATGAAAAATTATGTTCGTATAAAAAGCCCATTATAATTTAATTCCTTAAAGTGTTGTTATATATTCTAACAGAAAGTATGCATATAGTCGCACAGTCATGATACATGTATTATAATCACTTTTATATTTTTGAATTCAATTTCATTTTATAATTGTGTATCCCCACATATGCTATTTTATTCTCAAGCTAATCATGAACTTTATAAATAGATTGCGTACTAATTGTATTTAGTAGTGGCAACTTTGAAAAGCTTTAAACGTGAGACACATCCCTGGTAATCACGTCATTATGAACGGCTGCAGCGATTGGCTAATCGCATGTTTACTCTGCCACTCCTTAGAAATTTATTGTAGAGTTTTAAAATTATGTAAACAAAGGAGGAAAAAGAGAGGAAGTGGGCAGCGAGGCGTGACCTCAGTAGACGGTTTGGATGACTGAAGCTGGACTCTCTGTAAGGAAAGTGTTGTCAGCCAAGCGAGGCGAAGTTCTCTGAACACAATGTTAGTGTTCACAACAATATACACAATGAGTGGTACATTAATATGAGAGTAAACCTACCTCGTGTGGGACTGCTAGAGTCAAACTGGTAACCACAAGGATCAATAATAAACGTAACATCGTGGCTGTATTTCGTACAATACTCTTCAACGGGAAATGTTGTGCAGAGACTTCAGACAAACACTCATGCAACTGATAGATTTGATCCGCTCGTTCGATTTTAACGATTATTTTTTGCTGACACGCGTGTGTGTACAATCCCTACATTTGGAAGCATTTTTATTGGCCAAATAAACTATTGAACACGCAACTGAATTATGTTGCGCATGCTCATTTACATTCTTTACGTAGCGACAGTTGGCAACTGTGCAAACTGCACATAGCTGAGAAATACACTAAATAATGCCACGTGTAACGTACGCTACTGAGGAAAAAAAGCTAATACGTATGTCACAATGTCTAGAGAGAAATAAGAAATACATTGACATAAAAGTGAGTCAAGTATCATTTTCATTTTTTCCAACTGAGACGATTTAAATCAGTTTCTTCATTGGTTGGTTGTTCAAATTAGTTTTAAGGATTTTTTGTAATATATTGCCGACAATACACCACCAATTTACGTTTTGACTCAACACTCATCATTATATGCCATTGGTTTACTGTTCTGACAATACACATCTCAAAGTACACGCAGAAAATAATATTATATTTATTTTTAACTTCGAACTCAAAACTGAAAATCAAAATGGAGACGTTTCTACACCACCACCCCCATGTTACAACATCCCAGTATAAGAAACATTCATTTAAAAAAAATACGTCCGATGACGTCATATGTAACACCAAATCGCAGTCCCAAGGTTGTAAACAAAATATCCTACAGCATGATATATTGTGTTGTGTTCAACGACGTTGTCAGGCTAAATTACATATGTTGCATTATCTGCAGCATAAGCCGAGAAGTCGAATTATTTTTCTGAAGATTGTCGTGTGTCTATCCTAGTTTTTCTGAAATTATAATCATTATTATCATTATTCTTTATTAGTATTATTAATTCAACACTTGAGCTCTATCTTGAACAAAACAACATTAACAATGTATGGCTTTGGTTAAAGGAGTGCAAGCACAGACAACATTGCATTCGCCGCCATGCTATTTGCTTCTGATCATATGATTATTTTCCATGTTAATGTTTTCAAAAACCCATACATCTACAATGGGCGATGGTGAATGTACAGGTTTATTATTTGTGGGATATTGCTGAAAATGCGGTTTTAAATCAATCTTTTTGTGAAGAATCGCAACTAAAAACTGATTCCTTCATTCATATCATATTATTTTTTTTACTTCCTTACTCACTCACAATACTGAGACATTTTTCATTTTAGTAAGTTTTAGAAAGTATGTTTTGGCCATGATTCTGTACTTGAAGGATTATGCAACAGAAATATTCACAATACTTCCCTTGTTTCAATTTATTCTGACTATTCACACATTTTAGTTGTCTTCCTGCACTAGGTTGAAGCATATTAGTGCACCAACAGATGTTCATAAAATAGTTCTTCAAGTTTGAATATTTCAAAGATTGTAGGACACGAGTAATTTCACAAATTAATAGGCTTGCAGTCAGTTGTCAGACTTCACACATTGTAGAGATATTAGGTTCTCAATCTCAGGTATTCGATTTGAATAAAATCGGGTTATAGTAATCTGTCTAGTAAACGTTTTACCCGTTTTTAAAGATAGCTTCACTAAATCATGTAATGTTGACATCATCATTGTTTCGAGCTTTTCATAGTTGATCCAATAAGTTAAATGTTCTGATCCTAATTCATAATTAGCGTCACTTTAAAAATCACTGTCATGACCAACGCCACCTTAATCTGGCATGACATCAGCGGCGATTCTATTTTCTATTTTGTTATCGATTATCTTTTCGACACTCACTTAAGGCATCGACAAACGAATCAAGAATTAACGAAAAAACACTATAGTAAGCACCCAGTCTATTTTGAGTAATACAGTTTACAGAAACAAGATAATAATAATTATAATAATAATAATAATAATGAACTGCATGTAAAATAAAGCAAAAAACGATTAAATGAAAAAATAATTAAGATCAGAGCAGCATAACTTAATTTACAAAACAAGGAAATGTCAAATGCAACTCAAATACAACAAACTCTTTAATATAACAAAAGAAAATTATTACTAATTTAGCAAACAATTGAAAATATTTGTTGAAATGAAGGCAAGGTGAATTAAAATTAACCTATTGACTGATAAATAAATAAATAAATTAACTAATTAAGCATAGGAAATAGCCTGTGGGGAAAAGTTGTAGCTCACACTGACGTTGTTAGAACAAACTGACTTCTTTCATTTCACCACATTTTGTCATAGTTAGTTGTCATAGAAACGTGAGGGGATGAGCAAAGCCAGCAGTAAATGAGAATGTCTGTCTGTCTGTGTTTAGTTGAACCAAGTGTATGTATTTTTTATTACACCTCAAGCCCAAACAATGCTTATGGTGGGTTACATTATAGCGCGATTTCATTAAATCCAGATTGTGTTAGTTTGGCAGAATGGTAGGAGTCTATTCAATCATTGGTTGACATGCGGCAGCATTAACAGGAGCTGTACTGAACTCATTATTATGTCAATTATGTCTTTTGAGGCCACCCCAAAAGAAATAGTTGGCAACCTGATTCAATTGACATTTTGGTCAGTAGTCAATTCATTTTGCATAAGTGAAATCATCTAAAATGGGATTTAGTAAATATAATTTCATTTAACGGTAAGTAATAATAACAAACAAATTCATACCGACTTCGGAGGGCATTAGCAAGTTTGATGACTCGTAAACTAACAATGGTCATCTAGGTTGTTGAATCTAGTTACTCTCGATCAGATTTGAAAAACTAGAAAGATAATTTAATTTAAAATAACCGTTGAAAGAATATACAAGAAAAAAATCAGTCAATTCTGTTACAGATTGTACATGGCTAAGGATATAAGATAGAGGTGATGTAAGATATTTTGAAATGTTTAACACATTGAAAAGTTTTGTTTTTGCATATCAATATCTATGTGTTCAATCCACAAGCATAACTAGCTTAGTAGTTTACATGAGTCATGACCTAAGCTGATGGCAGACATCATCAAATATGGAATGTCCTATCCTAATCATATTTATAACTGGCACAAACTAGCAGCCTGTCGGCTGATATAGCTCCGCTGTTCGTGATGCATGCTCTGAAAGGAATGACTAAGAAGCTATTTAAACTTAATGCTAGCTACTTTAATCTTTTCGAAATGGACAAATGTAATACCCAAGCTGCATGCGTACACGTATCAAAGAATATGTTTTTTTGATGAAAAATTACGAAAATATTTGCTAAAAATAGAGAATTGAAGATGTTGACAGGAAGTGAACAAATCTAATATCGGTCCACCCAGGGTACATATACACAAAGAATCATGGCATTCAGGTTAGTAATTTTGAAGAAGTTGAAAATATCATTTTTGAGCCAAAAGTGACAAACCTATTCGCTGAAAATAGAGAATTGAAGATATTGTCACAAAATCAACAAATCAGACAGAGGTCCACCAAAGGTACCTACATACCAAGTATCAACGCATTTGGGCTAGCGGTTTTCAAGAAGAAGTCGAAAAATGACAAAAATATTCGCTATAAATAAGACAATTGAATATATCCACACGAAATTAACACATCTGAGAGAGAAACGCCCAAAGTACCTTCCTAGAAAGTTTCACAACTATACAGTTTGTGATTTTTAAGGAGAGGTCGAAAATTTTAAGATGACGACGGCGCCGACAGACGCCAACAGAAAATAGTCGACATCAGAGCTAAAAAACACAAAATTATTGTATATTATGAAGAATGAAGAAGAGATTCTGCTCAAAGTAAATTTGATAACGCTCCTAACTGTTTGACGAAATGATTAATTTTCGTCAGTCTCTGGTTCTAACACTGCTGTAGACAACAACATATTGGTGTACTGAATTGTTAATCAGGATGCAGGTGTGCTTTCAAAGCCCAGCAGTCAGCACAATGATGGGATTATAACAACTATTGTCTACGAATGTAAAAATGGTTGACCCCCAGGCACCACCTGGGGGGTCAATCGTTCATTGATTGCATTTGCCGTACATTGACCACAACATATGCACATAGGTAATTTCTAGAAGTTTCTTACCCTGAACACATAATGGTGAGTTTGTTGTTCAAGCTATCCATACTAATGTGGAAAAAACATTGAATGTTGACGAGTCAAACAATCTTATTCGTTTGGTCGTTGATTAACCCTAATTGAATTCGAATTAATTCCTCTAATCGTCTATATTGGTGATAAAATTTACATGTACATGTAATAATCAGAATTTTAAAATAAAACATGCATATAACATTAAAAGAACTAGCATGTTTCAATCAACAGAAATATCGTGTAAAGATTTGTCCATGTGAACACAAGGACATCGTTAGTAGATACAAAACAAATTCATGATTGATTGACAATTATTTGTCTTGATAACCAAGTCTAAATAAATAGGTCAAACAATATAAATGTAGTAATATTCTTAATGACATTCGGTACTCTCACTTGTACAGAGACATAGAGTGGTTTAAGATGGTCCATACTTACACTGTTAGTGAATGAATTGTGCGTCTCATGGACCTGATGAATTTTGTCATCTTGTATGTTATTGGATAATGGATTTTTTTTTTATTTTATATTAATACTATACTATACGAAGTTCATCTTCACCCAGCATAATGCTCTTTCTGAACTAACTTCGCACAAACTATTTGCCACTGTACATGCGATCGTATCCATCTTGTGTAGGTATGTGATAATAATCATAGCCTGGTTAAGATTTCAAAAGTATCTCAGCACACCCAACCAAACCTATTCCAGGTAGTCTCACTTCCCCAATACCCTCACAATCCCACACAATTTGAAAACATTAGGATCCATATCTACAGCCTAGAACCCTTCCCACTTATAGTGGGTCTGTTTGTACCCCTGTTCTGCTGACCGGAGACTCCCCTTCCACATGTCCTCATGTCTATCATAACTCTCTATCCCCACAACAATAATTGTGTCCCATAGAAAACAATTACTCTTCTCACCATTAATATCACTGTTGACAACCACGACCGACCCAGTACCCAGACAAAACCCTACTCACAATTAATGAATG